GTAGTGAGCGGGTGGGTGGGTGGGTGGGTGGTTGGGGGGACGGAGGGAGTGCGCACGCCACCTTTGGTGGCCGGGTGCTTTGAAGTGCCACTGAAACAACACAAGTTCGTACTGATGATTTTGTACAGCAATTGAGAAACTGTATGGGACTACCTAAGTGCTCATGATATGCCTTAGTGCTCATGATATCTTCAGCCGGGTGACGGGTCGTGAGGATCTCGCGGCAATGTTTAGTGCGTAAAAACGGACGCCCTGGCAGTGTTTGCCGTGCCTGGCCTGCGCACCCGAGTATGTGAGCAACAAGGTCTTCTGGTCGTTGCTGCTGTCACTGATGGAGGCCGCCTCCCCTAGCCTGTAGTCGCGTATGCGCTTCCACTCAGATGCCAACGAGGGGTCCAGGACCGTCCAGTTGTTCCTGGGAGGGGGCACATGTAAGGAGTCGATTGCTTGTATTGGGGACGGAGCGAGCTTGGGATGGGGTGTGCCGCCGACGTGGCTGTTGCAAGGCTGCATGGCATGCGAGGACTGCTCCCTGTCACCCAATATGGCCCGTGGCAAGGGCAGTCTGGTCGCCGCAAAGCAAAGTGCGGCAAGTGCATTGCGTGGCTGGCGGGTGCAGCTATTCAGCAAGGCAGGCCCCGATGCGGTCGGTCACAACGCTGGGACTGGGCCTGGAAGTGGGGGCCCCGCGCACGGCCCGTACACCACTGCACTTGGGCGAGCGACACCCAACCTCGCGCGCCTTTCCGCAGCGCTGACAGGGATGCAGCACTGCTGCTGCTCCTGCTGCTGCTCCTGCATGCTGGTGAGCCTTCGCAAAGCCAGCCGCCCAAGACTTATCCAACCTCCCCCTGCCCACCCACCTACTCAATCCCATACACCCACACACCCCTACACATACCTGAGGTAGTTGAAGGACACCATCTGGGGCTCCCACGAGTCCTCCTCAAACCAGACGCTGCCCACATTGACCAGCGGGTTGGAGGCGATGCGCTTAATGACCTTGGCGCCAGGCTGCAGCGAGACCAGCTGGAACTCGGTGGTGTCCCTGAGTTTGGGGTGTTTGCAGCAGGGCACCCGGGTCAAGCTGTAGTGAGGACCAGCACTCAATAGAGGGGAGGTGGGTGGCATGGCAGAAAAGGCGCTGGCTGTGACGGGCGATGACTTGATGATTTTGGGGGGGTCTGCTGCCTGGGAGTGCGTGGTTTTGACGTGTGAGGGAGGCCCACAAAGGCAGAGTCCGTGCAGCAGTCCCAGAGGCAACGGCAGGGGCCTCACGGACAGTCAGCTGATGCGCCACGCCTGCGCCTTTCTTGAGGGCCGTGCTACCGCGCATCACGCGTGCTCATGGTGATGTGCTGTGTTGGCTGCTGGACAGCCTGTTGCTGCCATGTGCTGACACAGCAGGCCCGGTCCCACCTGTCGATGGAGGTGACGATGTAGAGGCCGTTCCCTTGCTTGTTGAACCGAAACACGCCCCCCTTCTCGCCAAACGGCCACGTGATCAGCCGCCGCCACTTGGACGCGTCCGCCTTGCTGGCGCTCGCGGCAATCCACTGGGCGGTGGTGTAGTTCTGCTCCTTGGCGGCGCTGAACAGCGCGTCGAGGTCGGGGGCGGCCGCCACCGCGGCGTCGGTGGTGGGCGGGGCGTCGTTTATGAGGACGTACGTTGAGCCGTCTGTGTTGTTGTATCCCAGGGCGGCCTGCACGGTGGGGGCGGCGAGGAAGCGCAAGAGGGCGAGGGTTCGAGGGGCTCGGAGGGAAGGGGGGCGCTAGAGGGAGCCGGGGGAGGAGTTGTTGCAACACAAGCGTATGTATGTGCATGCATACTGCTGGTGTAGCGTTGCAAGTTGGCGAACACTGCGGTCCTAGACGGGTGGAGAAAATCACGAGATGCGAAAAACATTGGCATCAACAGCAGCAACCACGCCGTCTCAGGGCGAGTAGCCCGCGGCTGGTGGCTTGCGCCTGCTGGTGGCTTGCGCCTGATTTTCACGGCTTTCCGCAAAACTTTTCTCGTCTCCCACTACCTGTGCCGCTTGCAATCGCAAGGCCCTTGACAGCGCAGCCATCCCAGGCCCAACCCTTGATGGTAACCCACCTGTCGATACTGCTTATGGCCTAGGGCCCTTTGTCCATTGCAGGACGGATGCAATATCGGCAGCCAAGCGTGCAAGGGGGGCGCCTCACCCGTATGTTGAAGCCATAGTCAGGCAGCCACGTTGTCAGCCCCCCGGGGTTGACCGTGTCGAGTGTGAGCTTCATGGTCTTGAGGTCGAGGCGGTACAGGTCAAACACCTCCTTGCTGCGCTTGTTCAGGCCGATGTACAGAATACCAGGCCTCTGCGGGGATGCGATGCGGATTGAGGAGATCGGGGTTGCGAGGGCAGTGGTCAAGTGTGCCTCTCGGCATCACCACAATCGGCTGTGGGTCATGCTGACGCGGGAGGTGGGAGCAAGGCGCAGCGGGTGGGCGCATGGGACCGCCGACATGGCGGCTCTACTCGGGACGTTAAGCATGCACTGGCTAGGCAGCTGGGGTGCAGGGGTGGATGGGGTGGGGGCGATGCATCAAAACTG